CAACACACAACAAGAATAAGCCCAAAAATTTACCAACAATGATCTTATCAATTCAAACAATCCAACACAAAATTGTCAATGCTCACAATTTACCAACAACAATTCAACAATCCAACACCAAAAGCATCCATACTCACACAAACCTATCACCAACCAAAATTTCAATGCTCACAATTCACCCAAATTTTTTTTCTTTTATACTACTAAACTAACAACAATCACAATTTCTTAACAAAATGTCAACAATTTGAACTATTACTACTCATAATATCAACCAACAAGCATTTAAACTATATAGGAAGGGCTTGAGATTAGAAAGATTATACCAAGAACGTCGTGGGTGTAGAACCCGCAAATGAACCTTTCTAGTACTCCTTGTTGTTGATTGAAGGCCCTTGTTCACCCAATTTGCTTAAAAATCAAAATTCAAGAAACCCCCAAATCAATGTTGAAAGTTAGGGTTTGAGGAAATTTTGGTATTTTGGGGTTTTGATGGTGAAAAGGGGTAGTAATTTGTGAAGAGTGTTGAAAGAGGAGTGAAAATTGTAGTTTAGAGTAGGGATTTGAGTGAAAAATGGAGTTTGAAGGGTGAGAAATAGGAGTAGTATGAAGTATGGAGTATGGAGGAGGAAGGAGTGTTTGAGTGTGAAAGAGGAGTGAGAATTGTGAGTATGGGGGGGTCTTTGCTATTATTTTATTTTTTTTTAATTTTTTTTTAGAAAAATCGCCATATTGCTGTGCAAGTTGAACCTGCACGGACGTGCGAAGGTCGGCACGGACGTGCAGGTTTCTGGCAAATTAACAGCCTCTTCTGTCTTCGATTGCACGGACGTGCAGAGGTTGGCACGGACGTGCAACTTGGCACGGTCATGCTGATTTTTGGCACGGACGTGTGAAGCTTCATATTTCAGCTATCCATTTTCTGTCTGGTTCTGCCTACATCTGCACGGACGTGCGATGTTCTGCACGTCCGTGCATACCTGATGGTGCACGATTTCTTCTTCTTTCTTTTATTATTATTATTATTATTATTATTATTATTATTATTATTATTATTAATTCTCTTTTCAATAAATACCTACAAAAGATATAAATAAAAAAAAAGGTTAGTAATAATAAAAATAAAACAAATGAAAAAAATAATAATTGAGAGAGAGTGAAGAACTCGGGTTGCCTCCCGGAAGCGCTTCTTTAACGTCACTAGCTTGACGACATTGCGGTATCAAATGTTAGTGAGGAATATCGAACTCATCAAGGTGAACAACTTTTGCCTCTTCATTCACAAACCGTCAAAGTACGCTTTTAGCCTTTGGCCATTTACTTTGAACGGTTCATCATTCTCTTTGGAAATTTCGATTGCACCATATGGGAACACCTTCTTGACGGTAAAAGGTCCACTCCATCTTAATTTTAGCTTTCCCGGAAACAACTTCAACTGGGAATTGAATAGTAGGACCTTGTCACCTTCCTTGAACTCTCTTTTGTTGATATGCTTGTCATGCCAAGCCTTGGTCTTTTCCATGTAGATCCGTGCATTCTCATATGCATCCAATCTTAGCTCTTCCAAGGCATGGAGGTCAAGTAACCTCTTTTCACCGGCACTTTGAAGGTCAAAGTTCAACGTTTTAATAGCCCAATGAGCACGATGCTCAAGTTCTACCGGTAAATGGCATGATTTCCCATATACTAGCTTGTAAGGGGTGGTGCCAATGGGAGTCTTGAATGCGGTGCGGTAGGCCCATAGAGCATCATCTAGCTTCGTAGACCAATCCTTTCTAGACCTATCCACCGTCTTCTCTAAGATCACCTTTATCTCCCGGTTTGAAATTTCGGCTTGACCACTTGTTTGAGGGTGGTAAGCTAATGACACCTTGTGCCTCACACCGTACTTCTCAAGATGAGCTTGGAAGGACCGCTTTGCAAAATGTGAACCTCCATCATTAATGACGGCACGTGGCACCCCAAACCTCGGAAAAATGACCTTCTTGAAGAGTTTGACCACCACCTTAGCATCATTAGTAGGAGATGCAACCGCTTCTACCCACTTTGACACGTAATCGACGACCACAAGAATGAATTTATTCCCAAAAGAGGTCGGGAAAGGCCCCATAAAATCTATGCCCCATACATCGAAAATCTCCAACTCAAGAATGTTGTTCAACGACATTTCACTTCTTCTTGAAATATTTCCGGTTCTTTGACACCGGTCACAAACTTTCACTACACCCCACACATCTTTGAACATTAAAGGCCAATAGAAACCACATTGTAAGATTTTTTCCAAGGTTTTGTTAGCACTCATATGTCCTCCACAAGGTGAGGAGTGACACATTGTGATAACACTTTCAATCTCATCATCCGGGACACACCTTCTAAAAAGGCCATCAACACCTTGTTTAAAGAGCAAGGGGTCGTCCCAAAAGTGTTGGCGAACATCATGAAGAAACTTCCTTTTTTGTTGATAGGTGAGGTCGGGAGGAAGAATAGAGCAAGACAAGTAGTTTGCAATGTCCGCAAACCATGGTGCCGGTGCTTGAAGGATAGCAAATAGTCGATCATCCGGAAATGAATCATCAATTGGCAAGTTATCAAGATCACCTACAAAGATAGGCAACCGTGAAAGATGATCGACCACAACATTTTCGGCACCCTTCTTGTCTCTAATCTCAATATCATAATCTTGCAAGAGCAAGACCCACCGTATCAATCTTGGCTTAGGTTCTTTCTTGGACAAGAGGTACTTCAAGGCTGCATGGTCGGTGAAGACTATGACCTTAGAGCCCAACAAGTAGGACCTAAACTTCTCAATTGCATGAACAATGGCTAGAAACTCCTTTTCCGTGGTTGTGTAATTCCTTTGTGCCTCATCCAATGTTTTGCTAGTATAATAAATAGCATGGAGCTTCTTGTCCTTCCTTTGTCCAAGAACGGACCCAACGACAAAATCCGAAGCATCACACATAAGCTCGAAAGGAAGCTCCCAATTAGGGGGTTGAATTATAGGAGCCGAAATCAAGGCCTCCTTCAACCTATCAAATGCTAGCAAACAATCATTAATAAACACAAAAGGGGCATCTTTTACCAACAATTGAGTGAGCGGCTTTGCGATTTTTGAAAAATCCTTTATGAACCGGCGGTAAAAACCCGCATGTCCAAGAAAGCTCCTTATCCCCTTCACATTTGTAGGGGGTGGGAGGCGCTCAATTACTTCAATCTTGGCACGATCTACCTCAATTCCCCTACTAGAAATCACATGACCAAGAACAATTCCCTCCTCTACCATGAAATGACATTTCTCCCAATTCAAAACTAAGTTCACCTCTTGACATCTTTTTAACACTTTAATCAAATTTGAAAGACAAGTGTCAAAAGATGAACCAAAAACAGAAAAGTCATCCATGAATACCTCAATTGATGATTCAAGCATGTCGGAAAAAATAGACATCATACACCTTTGAAATGTGGAAGGTGCATTACAAAGCCCAAATGGCATTCTTCGATATGCAAAGGTGCCAAAAGGACATGTGAATGTAGTCTTTTCTTGGTCCTTGGGTTGGATTGGGATTTGAAAAAATCCCGAGTATCCATCCAAGAAGCAATAATGACTATGTGATGCTAGTCTTTCCAATATTTGATCAATGAAGGGGAGTGGGAAGTGGTCTTTCCGGGTGGATTTATTCAATTTTCGATAATCAATGCACATCCTCCACCCGGTGACCGACCTCGTAGAAATGGTCTCACCCTTATCATTTTTTATGATGGTCATGCCTCCCTTTTTAGGCACAACTTGAACCGGGCTAACCCACTTACTATCGGAGATAGGGTAGATTATGCCCGCCTCAAGAAGTTTTAAAACTTCTTTTGTTACCACTTCCTTCATATTGGGATTGATCCTTCTTTGGTGCTCAATCGAGGAAGCATGATCATCATCAAGTAGAATTTTATGCATGCATATGGTGGGACTTATCCCCTTAATGTCATCAATTTTGTACCCAATGACATCTCTATACTTCCTTAAAACAACTAGGAATTTCTCAAGAGAGGTGTCATCGAGCTTAGCATTGACAATAACGGGATAATTCTCACTATCATCAAGAAAAGCATATTTAAGTAGAGGGGGAAGGGGTTTAAGTTCAACCTTAGGAGGAGGCGTAGTCCTCTCCTCTTTTGCCTCCACGTTAAGCACTTCAAATTTTATCACCTCGTGGGCCAAAGGTTGGTTGAGCAAGAGATCATACCCCTTTGCTTCTTCACCCTCCTCAACTAAGCTTCCCGTTAAGGTAGCTTGTAAAGGATCTCTTTCATACAATCTTTCTCGGAACTCTTCTAAGTCCCTCTCCAATGTGTCAATTCTATGAACTTCATCAATCAATGGCTTTTTCAAAGTTTGTGAGAATGAAAATGAAATTTTCTCATCTCCCACATTCAAAGTCAATCTTCCTTCCTTCATATCAATCACCACTCCCGCGGTGTACAAAAATGGTCTCCCCAAAATGAGGGGTACTCTTGAATCTTCTTCCATCTCCATTACTACAAAATCACATGGCATAAATACTCTTCCAACTTGAACCGGCACATCTTCAAGAATCCCCAAAGGTAGCCTAACCGTGCGGTCGGCTAGTTGTAAGGATATTCTTGTTGGTTTCAAGTCTCCAACTTTCAAGGTCTTTGCAATAGAATAGGGCATCAAGCTCACACTTGCCCCAAGATCACATAAAGCATCCATAGCTTCCAAATCTCCAATCTTCACCGGTATTGCATAGCTACCGGGGTCACCAAGCTTTTGGGGAAGCTTGTTTTGAATGATTGCACTCACCTCCTTAGGAAGGGAGATGGTTGCACTCTCTTCAAGCCTACTCTTGTTGGATAGAAGATCCTTCAAAAATTTTGCATAGGTAGGCATTTGTGGCATAGCATGAAGAAAGGGGATGTTCACTTGAAGTCCTCTCATGACTTCAAGAAATTTTGAAAACTTCTCATTCAACTTCTTCTCTACAATTCTATGAGGAAACGGAATGGGGGGGCTTATATACTCTCATAGGGGGCTTTTCTATTCTTTCTTCATCTCCCTCATCTTTCTTTGTGGCTCCCTCATCACTCTTTTGCTCTTTTCTCTCAACTTCAACTACTTCATTTTCAAAATCATCCTCACTTCTCACCACAACTCCCTCATCTCTCTTTTGTGGCTCCTCTTCACTCATAACTGGGCCCTCATAACCCCTTCCCGATCTCAAAGTGATAGCCTTAGCTTGCTCCTTTGGGTTCACTACTGTTGAGCTTGGAAAGTGACCACTAGGATTGGAGGATGAACTTCCAACTTGTTGTGCAATTTGAGCCAATTGGCTCTCCATTATCTTATTATGTGCTTGGAGTTGTTGGATGTTTGCATTCATATCCGCATTGTTCCTTATGTGTTGAGTCATGAAAGTTTCAAGAACGAACTCAAGGCTAGTCTTTTGAGGAGGTGGAGGAGGAGGAGCGGGTTGGTTATATTGTGATCTTTGGTGGTTTTGATCCCTTTGGTTGGGATGGCGGTATGGAGCTTGTTGGTTTTGAGAATGAGGTTGGTTGTAGTGGTTTTGAGGTTGGGTTTGATTTTGGTTGTAGTTATTTTGTGGGGGGCCTTGGTTGTATTGCTTCCATCCCGTGTTTTGTTGGGGCTTCCAACTTTGATTGTGGGATTGGGAGTATTGTTCATTCCTTTGCCCAATTGCCGCCGCTTGCTCTTGATTCGTTGAGTTGCAATAAGAGGACAAGTGATCATTTCCTCCACAAGTCTCACAAGACATGACTTGTGAGGAAGAGCTTGAGGGTGTGAGGGTGGCTTGATCTAACTTGTGAGCTAGCATATCAAACTTTGATGCAATAAGATCTATTGCACTAAGATCATGAATTCCGCCCTTCTTTGTTTGAGGTTGCCTTCGATCACCTCCACATGCATAATGTTTGGCCACTTCTTCAATCATCTTATATGCATCATCCACCGACAGCTTTTTGAGGGTACCACCGGCCCCGGAATCAAGGTTGGCCCTTGAAATAGGAGTAAGACCGTCATAGAAGCTTTGTACAATGATCCATGATGTAAAACCATGGTGGGGGCATTTCCTTGTGTAATCTTTGAAATGCTCCCAAGATTCACTCAATGTTTCATTAATGTCTTGATTGAAATTGGTGATCTTTCTTCTTAATTCGGTGGTCTTTTCCGGAGGACAATACTTTCCAAGAAAGGCTCTAGTGACCCCGTCCCATGTACTCAATGATCCCTCTTCAACCGTTCTCAACCAATGTTTTGCTTTATTACGGAGGGAGAATTGAAACATGTGCATACGGATGAACTCTTCCGAAATGTTGTTTTGCTTGATGGTTGTACACAAATCAAGAAAGTTGTCCAAATGAGCAAAAGGACACTCATGAGGACTACCTCCGAATTGATCGCTTTGAATCATACGGATGAGTTGTGGTGAAAGCTCAAAGTTGTTTGCATTTGTGGTGGGAAGACGTATGCCACTCCGAAGTTGGAATGCGTTGGGGTGGTCATAGTCTCTTAACAATGGTTGAGGAAGATTCTCTCCCATGTTATCTTCTTCGTTAGCTCCAAAAACCTCTTCCGGATCGGAATCCGAATATACAATGGAAAACTCGGCTGTGCCTTGCAAGAGTCTCCTCACGTTTCTCAAAGTCCTATTTAGCTCTGGATCAACGGGAATAAGCGGTGATTGCTTACTCTTTCGTGTCATGCAAAGTCAAACAAAGCTAAGAAAAACGTTAGCAATGACTATCACAAGTTAAACACACATAAACAAAAATTAAGGTAAGAAAACTACTATACATATAGACACATCTAGTCTCATTCAACAATAATACATTCAATGTGACTTTGCCTCCCCGGCAACGGCGCCAAAATTTGATAGGCCGTCGTCGAGCCTACCAAAGATAATAACTCCTATCTTGGTCTCACTAACAATAGTAAGGGTAAGAAAAGGGTCGAACCCAAGAGAGGCGTTGAATCAACCACCGAGTACTACCGTTTAAATAAGCTAAATGAATTCTAAATTAGGTTGGTTTTGAGTAACTTCTTCTAATTCAATTCAACTAAATCTAAGAGGAGATTAACAATATTAAGAGGAATCTAGGGCTTGGGTTATACCACTCAATTTCATCACAAATCACAATTAGCATGCAACAATCAAGGTAAATTAATGGGATAAATTAGGGGAAGTCATCTAAAGCACCCAACTACTCTCTCAAGCTAGAGGGATTACTTGAATCATGAATACAACCTACTCTCGTGGTTACATAGCATAAAACAAGTGTTAAAGCATAATCACGATGACATAAACATTCCTTGACCGGTAATCCCTATTCTCATGGCATTTCGGGTCAATCAAGCATAAGGGAGCTAACTCAAGTTCATCTCTCGATCCTTCGTTGAGAAATCTTGGATAAATAGTTCTAGCAATGGCCATATACAAGAACTAAGCAATTAAACCACTTAAGCTCAACTAATTAACATCCCACAACAACCAAATTAGCACATGCAACAAGTAATTAGTGACTACATTGAGGGTTTTGCCCAAACCCTAGAATTTAGACTACTCACAATCCATGGGGGTTAAAGCAATTAAAGATTTCAAGCAATTCATGAACAAGTTCAAACTAAGGATTAAGCTAATTAACAATCCAAAACATGCAAGAACTAGCAAATAATTAACAACAAAGTAAAGAGAAGTAGAAAAGATGAGTAAGAAATGGTTACTATGAATTTTCAAAGTGAGCAACAATGGTGGATTTTGTCTTCCACAATGATTGAATTTGAATGTTTCCAAGCTAATAATTGAGAAATAACTAATGATTTGAGAATTTAATGTTCTAAGACTACAAACTAAGAGGAAAGCTCTAAAAAACTGCACCGTCCGTACAAATGAGCTCAAAGGGGGTATTTATAAGACCCCCAAATAAAAAGGACGGAGAAAACAAGAATCGGGCTTGACTGCAGGTCCGCACGGACGTGCCAGATTCGGCACGGACGTGCAAGCATAAGCACGATCGTGCCAGATTCGGCACGGACGTGCAGAGGGGGCAGAATTGAGGCAGAACGTACTGCTAAGAATCGAGCAGCTCCGCACGGACGTGCAGATATTGGCACGGACGTGCATCTACATCTGCACAGACGTGCTTAATTTGGCACGTCCATGCAGGCCTTGGCAGAATGTTCTAAGTTTCTGGAGCACTCCTGCACGGATGTGCAAGGTCTGGCACGGCCGTGCAGCCTCTTTTGCACGGACGTGCCAAATTAAGCACGGTCGTGCAGGCCTTGGCAGCTTGTTGAAACTTTATGGAACCTCCTGCACGGACGTGCAAGGTCTGGCACGGCCGTGCAGGGTCTTCTAAGCCCTTTTTCCATCTTTTCTTCTATATTGCTCCTTTCCTTGGCTTCTTTCAACCATCTTCTTGCTTCTAACCTCGGCTTTGTATCCATGGGCTCCATTTGGTCGTTCTTTTGAACCTCGATTCTCAACAAAAACACCAACAACCCGTGAAGCATAGGATACACAAAAATTGCATAATAATAGAGTAAAAATGAACCAAAACGCAAATTTTATCAAGTAAACTAGGTTCAAAACACCCTAAACTCATATCAAATAGCAAGTTATCAAGATTCAATCTCTTTTAGGTTGAATTTGTACCATCATCCCCGAACCCTTATTTGGTTCATGACCTTATGGAGTTGACGATCTCTTGGATCGTTAAGGGGTGTAACCTTCATCCTATGAACGGTTTACAAGTTCCTTAAAAACTTGTTGGCGACTCTTTTGCTCTATCTTCTTCCCTTTTGGACGCCACCATACTTTAGTGTATGATCACAGTGGGGTTCAAGCTAGTGAGATTTTAAAGGCTTGCAATTATTCCCTACATTTTTTGGCGACTCCACTGGGGACGATTTCTATTTTAATTCCTGAATTTATTTCGGCAATGATTTAGAATGAGTGGATGAGACTCGAAAAGTTCAAAGTATTTCATGTGCGTAATTTTGATTAACATTATCGTCATATGCATAAAAAAGATCTCATTGGAAAGACCATCCGTAATGAGTTAAAAACATAGGATTTTACACGTAGGAAATTTGAGGAATGTCTTTCACAAATAGGACTGAAATAACACCGCACGAAACTGGAAGATGTTATCGAACACAGAAAGCTGCTGAGGCATGTGGGAAGTAGCGTCAGGGGCCAGGGATTGGCGCCAGACTTTTAGCCGTAGCACCAGACGCCAGCATTGGCGCCAGGCGCTACAGTTAAAAGCTGACGTCAGTCTCTGTTTTCTGGCGCCAATTTCCCCCAATACCGAGCTAGAAATATGCGTTCTAATTTTGACCGGTTTTTCGTATTGTTTGCTCTATCCTACTTCCTGATTGAATTTTTTCTCATTTTTCTGAAACCCATATGTGTTCTACATATGGACATAACCCTCTGGGAATTCATGCTCCATCTACCTGATTGAACGCTCCGTGCAACAAAGGGTACATCCGAGATGTTGAATTCACCAAACCATGGAAGCGAGTTTTTCTAAAACTCGCGGTGTTCCATCCACTCGCGCCAACCCTTCACGGTCAGGCAAAATAATCAACCGATCGTCGAAAGTCGAGTCTGAATAATAAAAGACGAGACGCGCAAAATAATAATAAATCAACAATATTCCCGAACATACCCCTAGCATCGGAGTGCCCCGAGCATCCGAATGCTAGGGGCAAGACGAGCCGGCACACCATGCTGCAGCCACGGCCAGCCGCGGCTAGGCACAGCAGCAGCCGTGCCGCGCCGCGCCACGGCAGCAGCCGCAGCCGCACCACGCCACAGCAACAGCCGCGCCACATCAGTAGCAGGTGCGGGCTGGGGTCGCGCCAGGTGCGGGCCGGGCTCGGGCCGGACTCGGGCTTGGCTCGTGGCTTGGCTCGGGCCATAGGGCCATGTATAAGGGGAAGGTTGGGAGCAAGTGGGTTGCCATGTGGCACAAGGTGAGGGAGAGAGTGAGGAGCAAGTTTGGTCCCCATCTCCAAGTGGTCCTCACCTACTCTCTCTTGTATGCTTGACAATTGTTGATTTATTACTAGTTTGCTTAATAATTTTATTTTAGCTTTAAAATAAAATGAGAAAATCTCATTGTCCTACATTGATGGGAGAGATTTTCATACTCCATCATTCCCTATAAATACCCAACTTTGGGCATTGGAAATGATGCTTGAGTGGGAGTTAAAAAGAGCATTCCATAATATTGGAAAAACTCTTAAACTCATATAAAACTCGGGTTTTGGTCGGACCTCGCCAACCCCCAGGTAATAAACCTTAAAGTTGTGTTCGCCTTTTTGTGGGTGGATATCGTTGGAGGCGCGACGCTTGACGTGCTCGTAGCTTTCAAGTAAGAGCCCCGGTTTTTGGGCGAAGCTCGCTTCGAGGGTAAGATTCGTTATCTTTTCTTAGTAATTATTTATTTATGCTTTATGATTTTAATTATTGCGAGTGGTTCCTTGTGTCGGGGTTTGTTTCCGCGGTGAGTCGGACTCACCAAACCCCAACAGCGGTATCGGAGCCCCGCTCGTTTATTTTTATAATCATATTTTTAAAGGTTTATTTTGGGCTTAATTTTCTGGTTTAAGTTGCTAATTAGATTAGTAGCTCGGTTTTATTTATTTTAATCCCGTTTTTAGTGTCGATTTTGGCCCAGAACCCAGATTTTCGCCCAAGACTAGTGAATTTTGGGTGGAAAACGTGTTCTGGAAAGATTTTTACCCCCAGAGGGAACTGTGATTTTAGCCAAATTCTGACCAGAAATGCCTTTTTCGAGGGGTTTTTCGTTTTTGACGAAAAATTTTAAGTCTTTTCTAACCTTGAAATTAATGGCATAAATTGTTGATTATATGGTTGATTATTTGCATTATTTTCTGCAATTTTATGTCCCCTTAAAGCACACTTACTTGGTAGTATTTGATACTTAAAGGTTGATTTATTTTCACATAATTGCAAATTAATTTCTTTTTAGTGTGAAAGTTTTAATTTTGAGGCTTCCATAAGTGTTAAAGATTCAATCTTTATTTGTGATAAGTGATTGAAACTTTAAAAACCACTAAATTCCATGTTATTTTGTGTTAAACTTTGATGTTTTAATCATTTTGAGTTGATTGGAAACATAAAGTTTCGATTTTTTTGATAGAAATTTGGTTATCTTCATGTTGGAAGATATAATTTTCAAGGATTCACAAAATTTAGATGAGTGCAAATTTAGATGTTGGAATTTTCATTTGAACATTAAAGTTCATATTTTTCCAACTTCCCTTTACTTTGTCAAATTCTCAAGTTTAATTTAAATTGATTAAATTGAAAGTGAGAAATTGCCTCAATTTTATGTTGCACCGAGCTAAACCAATTTAATTAAGAATGGTTCTTGGAATTATTTTGGTTATTTGCACTTTGAAAATTTTATTAAGTTAGACTTGTTTAAAATTTTATTTTTCTCTCTAAATTAGTTCTAAAATTAATTTAGAATTAATTATTGTTGTCTCGCAAAAAGGGATAAAATC